GCACCTTATTCGTTTTGATTATAAATTTGCTCTCACACACATTTGCCTCTGCTACAAAATCACTCGATGTGCTTATAGCTTTGTGATATGTGCTACCCTCCAATAAATTGTAGTTGCCGTTTCTCTGTGTCAAAACAATACAATAACGGTTATCGAGGTGATTGACTAGTGAAGCAAAGCCACTACATATCTTTATGGACAAGGTGCAAAGGATATGTACATGAGCTATTTGATGGCCGGATAATTTCCATGTCTATCATATGATCGAATTCGTTCTTGCCAGCTGAATCCTTTCGAAAGCTAGTCGGGGCGCTTTCGAAAATACAGGTGGTCCTGTAGTCATTATTTGTTGTGTAGCATAGCTGTTTGAACACTGTGGTTTCGGTGGAGTTTGGTAATGTTCTAGGTGCTTGTCGTGCATCCGTTGAAATTATGAACCGACTGTATGTTTAGTCGTGACCATGTATGACCTACAACCAGAAACTTTATTATGGTCGGTGAACGGAAGACGATACTATAGAAAGTCTATACCTATCACAGGCACAGAAACGTCCGCAACGACGAAAATACAGTGAATGAGCTCTCGTAAACCCACACACAAGTGATCATATCATTTACCATATGTGGCAATGGACTTTATTTTTCCGCCTGCAAGTTGAAGACCGGATCTTGTAGATGGTGTTAAGCATTCTTGGGATAAACGCTTGCTTCCACACCAGTGACGAAGACGTGACGAACTTACGTCATCACACCAGTTATATGTAACAGATGGATATGTCCACCGGCTACGATCAACATTATTTCTTGCTGATGAGAAAGCTTCCCGAAACAGGAGGCTTCCCACAATTTCCAGAAGATCTACCACACTTATTGTGGTACCAACCTCAGTCAGTTTTATTAGCTTCTGGTGATCTAGCAACGGATCTTTCTTTTGATGGACTTTATGGGTAGTTTAGGAGCGTCTTCAATTATGATTGTAAGGTCCATTTGGAAGGTTTATGTGTTGGTGAAAATCCCTCCATGTATATACTTGTACTTTGTTCCTATTGATCTTCTTAGTTGTACATTGTTAACTTTTGGACTACATTTGAATTGCTAATATTTGTATTTTATTATAGTTTTTGTTTTTACCACACCTTCACTAATTCCCCATGTTCCTTCCCGAACTGCACTTATGTTGTTTTACTTTATACTAAGTCTGAGCGGCAGCCATTTTTGGTTGGTTCCTGCTTTGGATTGCTTGACCTATGTTGACTGGAATTGTGCATTTTGGTTGTGAATTGAAGCACTCTTCCAGAATTGAAAACACTCTGTGTTATAGAGCGACCAATTATTACCTTTTGAACGAATCTGTACGTGATCTATCCAGACAGGATAGAATAACATCTATTTGTGGTGATTGTTTAGACTTGATCAATTAAACAATTATTGGTTGGATAGCTGTGTGGTTATATTTGTTTAGAACCGCTATCTTACCCAATTACCTTGTTTTGGTTTCAAACGGGCGAGGGCGCGTATCCAACTTATCCAGGCAGCTGTCCAGCAGTCCAAACGTGGTTTGGATCCTACAATGATGAGCATTAAAATAACGCGAGATAGTATTACAGAGATCTGTAATGTCATTCTGAGTCGTTTGAGACTTTTCCTTGATTGAAAAACCTTCAATTCTGAGGATTATGATGATCACCTGAACATCAGATTCAGTTATTTTCATGGAAACCGCCTTCACTTAATGGGTAGGGCTTGCATAAGAAGTGTCTGAAGAGGACTTTTTCGACAGTCTGTGGAATAATGATATCCCGCACACGCACACATATGGTTGACCCTATCAAAAGCTTTTGAGAAGTCAAGATAAATGACATCAACTTTTCCCTTGCGACTAGGCATGGTTGCACATCTGTTCACCGTCGTCAGCAGGTAGGCTATACAAGAATGACCCTTCCTGAAAGCATGCTGTTGGGATGAAAAGAATTTTAAGTATGATAAGTAGTTGTGTATACCGTTGCGTATCAGGAACTCCATAATTTTTGAAGGTATAGAGAGAAGGGCCACCGGTCGGTGGCTTGAAGGTCCGCTATGTCGACCTCCTTTGAAATTGGTGTGATGTGAGCCACCAACCGAATTTCTGGCAATGTGCTTCAGCCTGGGGAGTGTGAAAACAGCACGCTAAGCGGTGTTGCCAGGATTGAAATTCCTTTCCTCAGTATGGCAGAATGCACCATATCCGGACCAGCAGATGTGTCTTTTGTAGGTGCTGTAGTTTCCGGCACACCAAGTCAGCGCTTAGGTTCACTTCGGAATGTCTTTTGCAGTTGCAGATGAAGCCTTCATCAATGTAGTTAATGTAGGTGAGTTGAAATGTACAAGGGTACTGTCAAGCATCGTCAACGTTATTGGTCGGGCCATTAGGAATTAACAGTTGGGAAACTCCGGTTCTGGGTTGACGAAGAGAGGCTGCATAACGCAATAAGCTTTCGGATCGAAGAAAAATTTATCGATAAGCTTTATCTGGTACTGAAGCCTGTCTTCTCTTATTGCATTTTTACATATGTTTCTTATATGTTTGTAGTGCCTGTACGCGCCGTTGTTATCATTTCGTTTTTATTCCGCTCAACAGTGCTTTTTGCGGTTAAACAAACGATGATTGCGGTTCTTAATGACTGTAGGTTGCTTGTAGATTTTGGGGACCATTTGAGGAACACACTGCTTTGTAACGCATAAGATCGTGTGCAGTTAGAAATCCCAATGAGCATTCACACCAAGTTGAGGGTGAATTTGACAATCTGCCCGTTTTAGATTGTCCTGTAAAGCTGACACACTCAACCATTCAAAATTTTAGCGCCTGTGTTTGACGGGAAGTCTTAGATCAAACGTGCAGATAAGACTAGACGCTATGACACTGTGATCGCTCCTCCCCTGTAAAGCCTGGATTAACAGGTTATTAATTAGGAACTCTTCGTTTATGAGTGTCTAGTCTAAGCGCGACGGCGTCAGACCGTTTCTACAACGAGTTGCCGATCTCACATTTTCGAATAATCTCAGATCCTCAAAGAAGTTGAAGAACCGAGCTTCATTAGAGTTTTCACCTCTAATATACGTATGTTCCGCGAACTTGACGTTAGGGAGATTGAATTTCCTTAGAATCTATAGAATTGTGGTCTACTTCGATATTAGTACTGCTCTAATAAAAGATCTAATCCCAAAATTGCAGGTTTGTTGTTGTGTAACTGCCTAATCTATAAGATCTTACCTGAAATTCACATCAATATCTACCATGATTCATCACGTTGTAACAATCATCAACGCATTTAGACTGGAGATAGAACAGTATATTTAATATGGATTAAAATAATGTTACATAAGTGAGACCACACCTGCAAGGCCGAGCCATGCTATCCGATCAATTCGAACTAATTCAATTCACTGTTCCCGCCATCTCCATCGTTTGATTTTACCCCGTAATAAATGTAGAATATCTATTTTCCCAGTTGTTTTGTGCTCGGCTTTCAGTGTTGCGTGGTTAGGGCCCAATGACACTAAAATCGGAGACGAGTGGAGCGGGATAATTTTTCCAGCATACGATCGTCGTACTCCATATCGGCAGTGAGCTTCCCGGAGATGACCCCAACAGACACCTCGAGGTGGTAGATCATCTTGATAAGCACCATATAGATTCGTCAAGATTGGTCAATTCTTGGTCGTGCACTTGATGTACCTTCAGGCAGGATCATATGTATATGGCTACCCCACCCCCGATTCCTGTTTTTCTGCCATTGAGAAACAAAGAGACGGTGATGCCTGGTCATTTTTAACCTTGTTAGCAGCCGTCCTATCATTTACAGAGATTTGGGGAACCACCGTTGCATTAAGGGATCGTGTGCTGGGGGACCCAAGTCTGCTGAGGGAGTCCATTATCATAGATGCCATGATGGTGCTGACTTGCAGCATGCCATCACTAGTGTTATTACATACTCCATCGATAGTATCGCTGTCGAGATCCCTTTTCGTGTCCTATTTGGGACTCGTCAGCTGGATGTACCTGCATCTCACAGTTGATGTTCACTTTGAGACTCGAACCCAGTACCATTCGCTTCAAACGCCTGCGCATTATCCACTCAGCTACGAAACGCGCGTCCTGGATTCCACTGCTAGCCACTATCCATCATTGCTTACAAATAGCTTGTGAATTAAGATAATATCGAGGCATACGCACAGTATGCACATATGCCAAGAACAGACTGACCAATTGCAGTCTTAAACCTCAATGGGAAGATACAAGCCAAACAATACCAAGTGGCTTCAAATTTGAAATTTTATTTTTCGTTTTCACAATTCAGTGAAAAGGGGTTTTTCCATTTTGCGGTAAACGGTATCGCCAAGTCCTTGATAATTCATTATTCAGGTGCTGCTATAATAGTTTTTCCGTATTTGCATCGCAGACTAGCCATTATTCCCACTCAGATTTACACTGACGGTAGGCAAATAATTTATTTTTATATGAAATAACATGACCTAAGCGTATATTGTCTTAAAAATTGTATTGTCTTCAGGGCTACCTAAACTGCGCAACAAGCAACGATACTGTGATAGGAAGTTGTATGCTCTTCGGAAAAATGATGATCACTATCATCATCTACATCCTGAACACAAGCACCTGCCTCTGACGAACCGGGTTTACGTCCATATGTACAGACATATCTCATGAAATAATACCTTGCAGTTGGGTCACCATTGTTCACTTTACATACTGATATAACGTACTTAGAAAACGTATAGTACGAAAATAATTATTAACCACTGAAGTCATATTACCTTGTGTACTTCTTTCAAATAGTTCTCAAAATTGTCCCAACTTGTAAGTCGAGGAGATAACATCTGTCGTCTCGTCGATATTATATAATATCATTGAAAATTCATCCTATAACATGCATCATCAAGATGACATCGTCTTCGTTACTTGAAGGGTGGACGTTATCACATATGGTGCGGCTGAGCTCAATTCAAATCTAAAGATGTTTTGATTTGACCACTCCTGAAAGCTCCACGAATTGTCGATGTGACGCACCAATCATCTCACGACAGTTTGACCTTCAAGTGCTCGCACCTTCCGTCAGTAGACGATACACCTGAAGCGCTGCCAATCTCATGCTTCTGTTGTTTCTCATCGTTTTCGATTGCTTTTATTCTACGATGCTGATATGATCTCGTTGATCTTTCACTGATAACCGAAAGCATCTATCTTTCCTCAGTCATTTGAATATTTATTTGAATACGTAGTCCGTCTTCACCTTGCTGTCAAACAACCATAATAACAAGTCTGGCCATAATCATATTAAGATTGGACCACTGTAGTATATCTGTCTGTTCCGATCAACTACTCTATTCTTAGTTGCTTCAGTTGTAATATACACACCCATTTCCTTTCAAACACGGGGTTTGTGGATTAGTTACTGAATCCATGCGAAGTTTCTAGGACTGTCAAAGGTAACGTTGCGATTTTAACTCTTTCAAGTCCTATTCTCTCATAGCGTATATCCTCACTTATCTCTGTTATTTTCTCCCGAAGTTTTTGTCGCGTACTTCCTCAAATTTTCTCACATTTTAGACTTTAATGTAATGAATAGCATGCACAGTCATAGCGTTGCTACAAGTAGCCATACTGAAACCAAAAGTATGACTAGCATTGCTAAAGGTTTTAATTCAGACGTTACTAAAGAATAGACAATCTCCGTTTATAGCAATAAAATTATAAAAAAGCTTAAGACAACAGGAAAAAGCCTCAAGTCAATATGAGCAAAAACCCGAGTTCCCAATTTTGAGGAAAATTTGACCCATTTTAGGGAAGCCACCATAGTGAACTTTGGGGAAATGGCTCAAAAACCCCAAAATTCCCCTTTAACCTTGGTCAGGGTCATTTGACTTTGGGGATTTCCCTAAAACATCCCAAAATTTCCTCAAACTTGGGAGCTCAGGGTGGATTACTCAGCTCAATCGTTTTATTTAATGTTCCATTTTGAAGAGTAGTGTATTGGAAAGTAGAGTAGCCTCTGATAAAAAAAACGACGGGGCATATACTGTACAGTACAAGGAAAATGTTTTACTTCAGCCAAGCAATACCGCCTGTGTAAGGTCCAAGACGTAGCAAAGGTAAGTCCTCTCTACTCAGAGTAAGTTTAGATTCAACACACGTTACAGAAGAAATTTTACACCCCAGAAACCATCTGTTAAGCGACCCTTTTAAATTTGAGTTTGACACAACAAGTCGTGGGCCTTAAGAGGTGCCTGTAGATCGGCAAATACACAAGAACCAACCAGCATGGTGGTTCGCGGAGTGCCTGCGCTGGTAGTTGATAGTTGTGATAAAGCTCACAAACACGATATGTAACAGTGGCGTTGGGTATCACATAGCATAGGCTTTCACATCACTACAATAATTAGCGTGTCCAGGCTACTTCGTCCTTTACACCTCACTATCATTAAGTCTTCTCTGGTGGCTGTAAACTTCAGAAACCGAATGGGCTTAACTGAGGCTCCTCAGACGTGGTAGGACTCGAGGAACGGTCTCTCTAACCACGTCAAATGTTGTAAAAGCCAACCTAGATCGGCAGAGCAACAGCAGAAAGATCAAATAGAACACAATTCGGTGTCGGCTGACCTTGATTAGCAGCCGACAGTTTAGATCACAGAGAACATGGTTTCGCTAAGGAGACATGATATACAGGCGAAACCCTACAAAGTTCAGTTCCCACGCAACTGACTAACACAGTTTAAACAACAATCTCCTTAAAATCCTGTTGACCCATACGTCTGTAGAGGAGCATCAGGTGATGAGTGTGGTGGTTAACAGTGGATGACCACTGGTAGACAATGAGGGATATGATTCAGTATGCTATCCAACACAATGTACCACAACGTAAAAATACACTCGGAAAGCGAAGACCCTGTGTTAGACGAGTCACAAAACGCTTGCTACTGACCAAACGGTAAGCCTGGGACACGTTGAGAGTCTCCGTGAAAGATTCTAATCTTAGCTTTTACTTGGCATTGAGAAAACAGATGCGATGCCAGAGTATGCAGTAATGGGATATGTATTCAGGTCAAGCTAGCGGCCAAAATCCAAAGTGACCCCATATATCTCTACTGATTCATGATCAGGAGGAAGCCCACAAGCCAAGGGATCTATACTCGTAGAGGGTCAAATGGCTTTGAGATGTCAGAGATCTTTAGCTCCAACTTCACAGACCAACTAAACTAGGAGCCTAGAAGCGCGAAGTATCTCTGAATTTAAGTGGCAGTTTAGGGTCTTGGATTAGTATTTCGGAGACTTAAATCCCTGCGCCCAGGAAAATCAGGATGTGACAACAGCCGACCTATAATCCTGAAACACTGTGCGGAGGCCATCAGGACACTAGTGTTTGACGTGTTCAGGCACTCGCTAGATTTACACCAACTGCCAAGAGAATGTAAGCAGTCCACTCTCTACAATCTTCATTGAGGCGATAGAGAAGACTCAACCTGTTACAGACCTATTGCATTATTCCCAATACCGTCGAAAGTAATAGGAGGACTGTTGAATGAACAAATGAGAGAATAGATAAAAACAACATCCTATAGGAAGTCCAATGCGGACTCAGGAAAGGCAGCTCCTGTGACTTCAATTTCCTCATATCATGACAAAGCTGGAAGACCTGTTGGGACCAAAAGATACCTATTTATCTAATATTCCTCGAATTAGCTAAAGCTTTTTATACAGTGCCTCAAGTACTCGCAGCAAAGGTTGCGAAGATGGGTTAGATAGGCCCCATTCTATCTTGGTTCCGAAACTTCCTAAAGAAGCTTGATCTCAGGCTTGTACACCCCAATGTTGTTCCTAACACTGCTTAAAACGTGCGCATGGCCCCACCTTGAGGTCCACCATGTCGTTTACACCTGCCCGTAGCAAAGATGTTGGATATTGGCAGTGTATTCCATCTACTTGCTGAAAGGTCGGCTGACATTTTCTTTTGTTCTTTTCCCTTCCAGACTCTTAGTATACAAGGTACTTTCAGGTTAGACGGAAACGTACCCAAAACTGAACACCACAATTATTTCATCTGGATTTGCTTACGCACTGTCCTTCGCTCTATACATCGGATCTTTTTTCCGGTTTGCACATGTAATTGGTCTCTCATTTAGCTTTTAGGAGTTTGACATCTGACCATCTCTTCATATCGTCCTGACGAATTTTCGTTTATACTGCACGAAATTAAAATAAATTTGGCGTTGAATTGTGTTATTTTGAGGATGCAATTAGATTACAAAGGTTGTTGTAACTTTTTGGATACCAGAAGGTTAAACATCATAAATGAAGTCAACAATGTAATTATTATTCAGATGCTCTATCCTTTTTAGATTTCTTTGAAAGGAAACAGCTTCTCTAGTGCTTTCAAGTCATATTTCCAAAGTCAAACTATTCCAAATGAGGTTTTGTGGTCACTAGAATGTTATAACGATGTCTACTGCGGTATATATAATTCTTCTGGGGACCTGTTCTTCACTGCTTCGCAAGGTGAATATGTGATTGCCAATTGTAACTTTTATACAGATGGGTTTATTCGAGTATTTGATTCTTCTGGACATTATTTTCGTTACATGAATGAGATTAATGTTCCTGAATATACCTGGAGTATTGTGTCACTCTCTTTAAGGTGTGTGCATTTTCATTACTTACAAAATTTTCTAGCAATTTGGGGGATACCCTTGTTTTCTGCAGTTTGTCTCCTATTCGTAAGTAACAATATTTATTTGTAATGAGATTTCAAATGCAATGTTTTATTTTCAATGTGTAGTTTAGTTACCATGTCCATTTTGTCAGAATGTAGTTTCCCGATTTTCGCAGAACCATTCTTGCTTTTTAAAATTGTTTTTCCCTAGCTTGTGTAATTTTAATAAAAATGTCCCCATAGGATTCTGTGTCATCCCCCTCTCAACTAGTCGGCTAGGTGTGTTAATCAAAATGGGGATCGTACAAACTCAGTGTTAAATTCCGTTTTTATCTTAGAGCTATCAGATAAAACTGGACTTCCACAAAATCACTGCTGAGATTAACAGAGACCAACTGACCCATAGTGATCATTTCTGAAGATTGATAGGACCATCCGCTTTTGGGGAATCGCATCATGTTTGATCAGTCAGCCGCCATGATTGTCTCCTTAATAACTTGGGTTTTGCGCGTTTTAAGAGATTGAGATACTTCAACTGAGATGTGTCACCCATCCAGGTCACCGACTATCCCAACGTTCAGTCTCGAACAACATAGCTGGTTAAAAATATCATCGAACTAAGACATGTCAGTTCGTGTCATTGGCAGTAGGTTTGAGCTATATCTGGAGGCACCTACTACCTGTTAAGATACGGGTGCTCATTTTCAGGTGTAGCTGGGTCCATCTGATATGGGCTTAAATCAATCACAATGTCACATTCGTACTAATTCCTAATTTTTGTATCTAAAGTCATAGTATCGTCCCATTTTTTTCCTTTCGAATCGTTCTTTATATTTAACCTTGCCCATCCATTACGTCTGGTTCTGAGTTCACCCAAGTAGGTACTATCAGTAAAAGTCAGTTGATATTGGTAACGATTAATAATGTTATCGGGAGTGGACTGTAAGCTTCAAAATAAAAACGTCTACTTTAAAATACAGAGATTTTACTAGTTTATTTTTGTTTCATTTCACCAATGTTTTACCCTCATCTTAACATTCACATTTATTTCAGTGTATTTCACCAGTCTAACCGATGTGCGTGATGAGGAGCTAAATCTCAAACATGCCGAACTTCAACCTGGTGAAAGAAATATAACGAAGACTTTTAGTGTTGATTTTCTTGGCGGGAGTAGTAATCAAGTGGTTAGTGGGTAAGGTGTTTCGCTCTGCCTGTATCGGTGTCTTATTTTATTATTTACTTTGTTTGAACTATTGGATTTCTTTTACAACACTTCGCTTATCAACACTTTTGTCACTGTTTTTAATTGACTTATGAATATGTGTATAAGTTTGTCTATAAACAATTTTTTGGAATAATCATAAATCTTTATAGTTATAGTACAAATCATTCCGTTCTGTAAGTATTATAGTCAGACCTCATACAATTAATCTCTAATGAACTGTTATCAAGTACAACTGACAAATGTTATGAAATCAAGTGAATAAATTACGTTTTGTTTGCTGTAGATCTTCTACATGCATACTAACTTAATAAGTACAATGCAAAAAGTAATTTAGTTATAAATGCTTTTCACAATTATTTAAGCTCACTTAATATAAAAACAGCGTATACTTAAGTTTATGACTTAGTTAACTGCAAGTAATATATGCAGATTTTTTGAGTTAGATGATTACGGTTATATGAATGTCTAAATTATGGGAATTTGCACTGTTTTACTAGTGTAGTTTCCGTGAATATATTCCCATCACTAGTTTTTACTAATAGTTATCTGTGCTTTTAGCTTCGTATTTCATTCATATGTTTATCACATTTAAAACTTGGGCATAATAAAATCCTATTTGGTTTTCACGTATGAGCAACTTATGTTCTGATATAAATGTTCATCTTTCTAAGCTGCCGTATAAATCACAACAAGGGCCAATTGAAAGTAACAAGATACATATCAGATTCTTGGCAATGTTAGTTGCATCAGTGATTCAAGAAAAATCAGACAGGAAGTATTGATTGAATAGAATGAATTAAACAAAGTAAAATGTATGAAACTATGTAAAAGCTCATAATTTCAAAGGTGGAGAACGAATGCAACTGCGCTGCTGCAATCAGGATCCCTAAGATCTTCAGACATAAGCGAAATACCATGTCTCTTAATAGCTGAGTCTTACACATTATTGCATTTTACCCTGTAATACTACTGTAAAACGTTCTCGTTAAGCATACAGAATCATCAGTTATGGATCGTCTTTGTGTATTTCTATTGGTAACACTATGTTTCATTCACTTGTCTTCGCTTTACTGTGCTGATGTAAACTGTGATCACTTGTCCCGATACACCTGAGAATTAGAATTAGTCAGGACCATTTCCTTCTTGTTATCACGTGAGGTTGGATGTCTTTCACTAGAAGTCAGGGTAGTGGCAAGTTTTACAATTCATTTATAGTTTCGTTGAAATCTCAGTCAGCTGATAACTGGGACAGCTTAAAATGCCTTTCGGTGTTTTCTAAAAACAGCAACTCATTACACTTTTACTCAATTTGACCAACTAACTGACAGATATCTGAAAAGCTTTTTTTCTCTACATTGGTTTGTGACAATCTTTTTAAGTGTTGGAACAAAAGTAAACAAGCATAATTAGCTTTTACATATGGATTACAAAAATAGCTTAACACACTATTACGTAGTTGTACGCGAAGTACTAACAGTTAGGACTCGCTGAAAATAAGTTTCTATGTGTCAAAAGCTGTAGATAGCAGTACGCGTTGTTTTACTTGCAACCAACAAATTCTAATAGTAACAATTACCGCTTCTGTCCGTTCATCCGTTCAGCCATTCAAATCCTTGCTATCTATCTGATACATTCATACAATTTCAATGTTAAGGTTTTCAAGTTGCTTGTATTTTGAAGTGAATACTGTTTAAAATAAGCCTTTATGATATCATTAAAAGTTTCGTTTCTCTGTATTATTGGGTTATGGATGAGACTTAGTGATTTCATGAGAGAATTTTCGTTCGTCAAAATCAATTTGTAGAATCCTGGTTGATAGACAAATCTAACTACATGACGTAGGTAAATAACAGCTGCTCAGAAAAACAAATAATTGAATTAAACCTCCTAATGATTTGATTTCAAAACAAGACCACTAGCCAGATAAATAGGTTTATCATGTAATAAGTTAACGTGCTTATGTAGAAAATACTAACACAAAATAAATGTAAAATATTATAAGCGATTGGAGAAAATTACTTCGTATATCACTCACTCTCCAATCAATAGAAACCTGATTATTGGAACTAGTTCTTCGACATCGTGTCATGTTGCTACATGATTTTATCCTCGTTTATCTCCTAAAAATTAACTATTCCACTATTTTCAACGCAGATGACTATCTTCTATAGGTATTGATTAGTTTATATTTGTCACACTTTCCAGTACAAACGTTTTTATCAATTTTTTCTCTTTTTTCTCATCAGACATAACAAAGGTATGGTTTATGTGACGGATCTGCAGACAAACAAGTATGAATCATTCGTAAGTATGAGTTAATCAATCATGTTGATTCCTTTACAATGACTTGTACGCTTTGTCTATCGAATAATAATAATAATTATTATTATTATACCTTCAAGTTTCATTTTGTTAAAAACTACTTAGACCATTCTATTCTTCATAATTTCATTCTATTTATTAGTACTGTTTTTTAGCCAGCTTGCAAAGTTGCTTTCAAATTATTTGCTGCGATCATCTTAATGAAAAATCAAACCAATTCCTTTGCATCATTGTGGAAGACTAACATCAGTTCTCTGTTTGCTTTTAAGCTTTACATTTAGATTTAAAACAGAAACGATAAAAATAATATCGGATTAAAAGTTGAAGATTCTCACTTTTAAAATACTCAGCTATTTATTTCTTTTTGTATTGTTTGTTTGGATGTTCCCATTGACGTTTAGGACTGCAATTGATCAGTCTCTTATTGGTATATGTTCATCCTGTTCTTATTGCGTTAGGTCACAAGCATTATAAGCGAACATGGATGGTGGCTAACAGTTGAATTCAGGAAGCGGGTTTCGTCTTATTTGGGACTCATTAGCTGGATGTGACTGCATTTCCATTGCATAAGCCAGCGGCTATCCGGCTCAGTAGCTAAATGGATAAGTCGATGGCGTTTGAAACGAAAGGTACTGTTTTCGAGTCCTGGGGTGAACATCAACTCTGGGATGCAGGTACATCCAGCTTATGAGTCCCAAATAAGATTTATTTATTTATTTGAACACATAGATATTGATACAAAGGGGCACCGAACACATATGCGCCACACAAGTTACTTGATTTGTGTGTGGGCTGTGGTACCACCCGGGTGCGCAGACCGAAACGAGTGGTTTTCTTAAGGGGTCACACCCGGAGCTTTCGACTTACAGGTCTAATCCATAAGGCAGTGGAGCAATGTAAAGAGATGCAGTCCCATGGTAGCCGGTGACCAATAATTGGTTCATATGCCGTTTGTTCCTTCAGGATCCTTCAGCCCATGTACACCATTGGTATGGAATCAGGGTTTTCCAACTCCCCTAGGTGGGTCCTCCATATCCACCAATTTATTAAACAACACCCCAGCCATGATAAGCCAGTGACTAAGGCTTCTCTGGTAGTGACAGTAAACGCGTGGATGTGTGAGAGCGTTTCGTGAGGGAGAGCTGATCCTCTCCACTCTCGGTCGTACCAGGGAATTCGGGGGCTATAGGGGTGTTGTTGGCAGAGGGGATTCGAACACACGACCTTCGGTCTCGTGTACGAATACCCAAAACCTAGACCTCGCGTCCTGGATTTTACTGCTAGCCACCATCAATCTGTGCTTATAATACTCGGCTGTTTATTCATTTGTTTTTGTGTATCACATTTCAATTCAAGTTTCTTTAGATTACTTTGATTTTGAGATCAACATTCTAGTGATAGCATACTTCTTTTACAAAATAAAACAAATAGAACCCTTTCCTTGGTCAATAAACTCGCAATATATGGGGATGATTTAATGTTTCCAAACAGCAAATACTGCAGTAAGGTATACCAATTTAAATAACTTAAGGACCCGTCATAATGTTAGTCTACCTATAAAAGAACAGGCTTACACATATTTCGCATCATACTTTACCTAACTCTCATGGTGAACCCCCACGTTTTACAACTGAAACTTGGTGATTAAATTGATAGTGGGTGGGTAATGAATCCGGCTGTTAATATGGCGCACCAAACTGAAAAAGTAGACTAACATTAATGATCCTTAAGTAAAATATTGTTTCGGACTAAAATATATTTCATCACGAATTTTAGAATAGGTTATTAGAGATTCAACAACTTATTATCAGAAGTAGCTTTACATTAAGGTTTGTAGCTATCATGTCAGAGATTTTTTGTCTTAAATGAATAGCAAGATAAACTTCTAGAAATAACTAAATTTATCGGCTCTGTATTCTTATTTGAACACTCGTCTAATATTCGTATTTTCCGGTGTTATTGTTATATGATTTCCTTTCTTTAACTTCTGTGAAATGTTATCTTCCTATATGTTGTTTGGTTCACCTATTGTGACGATCGGACCGAGTAATGTAGACTTGGACATTCTTTCTTAAGGTTATTCCTGGATCATTTTGCAACATGGTTTGACAAACAGTATAAAGTATCAAGTTGGATGGTGAAGTTGTGTCACCAATTACTGATGTGATAATAGATTTAGTTAGCAGTGGTTTAGAAGTTAATGCACTGATTGGTAAGCACAACCGTAGTATCAATCGACATATTTAAGCATCACTTCCATCTATGTTTACAAATTATTTACAATTATTTTTTTGTTCCCATATTTGTATGCCACGTACATATCTTTTTGAAATCATCATAGTTTGTGTCATTACAAACCAGCTACTCTTATTGCTCGGTATTCTTCGGACACCTTATTTCACTTGACTATTCCCCAAATCAAAACACGATTGAACAGGAGTATGATTTCACAAACGTGAGTATATCCATAGTTTTACAAGAGAATCTAATCATCTCCCAATATCCACTCGTGCTGATTGGCTGAGAGATGGTCAATCAGCATGTTCCAACACAATCCCTCACTGAACACGGTTTCATCTAAACTCTGTCTCGCTGTAGGTTTCTGTGTTAGCTTTCTCGTTCTAGTGTAGTTGAGTAGTCTGAGAACAATTGGTTTAGATTAACGAGAGACGTAGTAATAGTGTTATCAAGTAATGGAAAATTCACGTGATTATGTTGAAATCATTGTTGTTTATGTCATAGTTTTAGCACCACAGTGACAACATACCTGTTTCACCGACAAATTAAGGCCGAGGTATGAATGATGCAAATTACATTTGACCCAGTTAGCAGACGGAGTGAATTTATTACAAATCATGCAACTAGTTTTTCGCTTACAACCCATGATCATCTGTCTGTCCAATGATAAAATCCGACGTCAATTAGGTGACAACGTGTTGATACACTAAAGTGGCATCTCTCCAGTGAATCGTAATTTTGTTGACCTAGTCATACATCGGCCTGTAACAACGCATTACATGTGAGGATTTTGAGACAGAGGTTGTTGTCCCTCGCGTTCATACAGAGCAGCAACTATTTGTTGATGTCAACCTAAAGCTCATTTCTTCTACTGTTTCATATTCTGAGTTTACTAACTGTCCTAAGCGAAAATTTCGTATCTATCGCCCCACTCTAGAAGTGGTTTTTTAACTGTTATGTCATTATTTTGAAAAGTTTTCTCACTGCGTGGAGGTATTTAATAGCGCTTTTTGATTAAGTGCATAGCTCCTCGAAATAATTTCAACAGACAGAATGGACCTTATACCCAAACGAGTTCTGAGTCATCATTAAGAAACTTGGATCATTTGGACATGTGCAGCAAAGATGTATAAAACAAATCGCTTGTTTTATTCACTAATATAAAATTATACGAACCAGGCTCATACATAAAAAACTAATGAGTTTTCCCACTAACTGTAAGCTTTAAAATAAACAGTATTAAAAGTTAAAACTAATAACACTCGTTAAAAAGTTCATTATATTGAACTGAACACATTCTTTAAATTGACAATGAACTATGTTTCTCACTAATGAAAACTCCTTACTTGTTCCCCATCCACGTAAATATGTAATTGATTCTACCATATGCTCATATCTATATGCATAGAACTTTACAGTATATTAGTTATATTGTTATTATAAGCAGATTAGCATATCACTAATTCGTGATGTCTTGTTTACCAAGTTGATAGATAAAGCGAAGTTATGATTTGGGTTATGTGTGTAAATATGGGTTAGTTTTTTGTGAATCGAATTTTATTATTGCTTAACATATTTTGATCTACACTTGTTAGAGTACAGGCGGTTGTATAATAGTTCTCTTTGTTAACTTTTTTTTGTTCTATAAGTAGGTGTAAAACTTTTGTACCAGCTTTGATTACTAACAAATATTTTAACATAGCTAATTGTATTTTGATCCTATAGGTTCAGTTTTTTTTTCATTTTAATCAAGGCTGTAAATCCACGATCAAAAGCTGATGTAAATGCTGTTACTACACTGGATAGATCAAGTAATCTTATCCTTGCGGGTAGTGATGATACAAATGTTAGAGTAAGCTATTATTTTGATGATTATTTAGGTGTTTTCATCCCATTTCCACCTATTTACAAAACTTACATTGGTCTCTGTCCAGTTCAGAAACTATTTATGTAAACCGAGTTAATATATTTGACCATAATTCATTATTAGTGATTGAAAACATCTTAGTTTTGTAATGTTTTACTTGTCACACAGATTGTAGCGGATTTACTTATGGCTGTATTTCTGCCTTTTTTCACGATGGTCAAACATTTAGTCTTGCTCTGATCCCGTACCCCTGATCATAGATTAGTATCTCCAACTTTCACGTGATTTCTATCCTTGAGTCAAGTGAGTACACGGATCTGTAAAAGTTCTAGGTTAAAACTAAATATGAAATCAGACAGTAATTCTATTTACTTTAGCTATGAATAAAATAATTTAAGTCACTTGACAATGTTTTGATGTAAAATCTAGATGGACGTTCGTGGTACAGTCGCTGCTCATTAATCTTCGCTGTGAGTATTTTTACTAAATTCCCTTGATTGTCGTTTCGTGGTATTAAACGGTGGAACTTAGTTTCGTAAATCTTTGTAAGATATCTAGTAAAAGTTTGTGCAAGTTATTTTTCTATTTCCTGTAAGCTGCAATCATTCTTCCATTAATTTCTCTTGTTTGTACAATAGGTAGTATAAATAAGAACTTTCGTCTAAATTTGAACGAATAGTTTCACATTTGGGCGCCGAGTTAATGTGAGTCATTAAAGAGGAAGAATATATTTGTAAAATCTCAAATTCTTTCGCTGAGATTTTACAAATACATTCTTCCTCTTTAATATGTAGTATAAGATTTAATTAGTTAATGGATATAACTGACAGGTGATTCATTTTTACTTTCATTGAAATAGTAAACCGATCAATGTTAGACCGCCATTAGCAAGCTGGAAGCACTGGACGGCTGTGTTGTCCTATTATGGGACTCCTCAACAGTGCTTGTCCATTATTCCGCACGTGGGATTCAAACCCAGGACCTTCGGTCACGCTCACTGACGATTAGTCTTTGTATTTAGTTGTAACGCATGTAGCTACTTATAGGTATCATAACTGTTTTTGAAGAAATACTTTTAACCCGTATTAGGCTATTGCATACGTAAAGTTTTTAATTTAATAGGCACATGAGCCCATGCAGTTCGCACATGTGAAATATCAAGATGTTTTCAGTTCACACACTGAGTAACGTTTAATTCAATAATCATTAGCATTGACCTTGAAACTATTCAACTAGAAGGGTGCATCTGAATAGTTTTCCACCATTGTACTATATTTGGCTAAAGTATATTGTAATGACGTACCAATCAAACCGTAGGTTGCGAGTTCTAAGGCTATAGGACATCTAAACAACTAAGTAAGCTTCGAATTAACCTTCTGTTAATGTTTTTAATGATGTTATGCTACAACGTTTGTAAGGACTGGTTATGATTAGAAGGTAAAAACATGTGATAGAAGTATAGTATGTAGACAAACCAATCAGATTTGATGTAACGTTTATTCATACATACATACATACATACATACATACATACATACATACATACATACATACATACATACATACATACATACATACATACATACATACATACATACATACATACATACATACATACATACATACATACATACATACATACATACATACATACATACATACATACATACATACATACATACATACATACATACATACATACATACATACATACATACATACATACATACATACATACATACATACATACATACATACATACATACATACATACATACATACATACATACATACATACATACATACATACATACATACATACATACATACATACATACATACATACATACATACATACATACATACATACATACATACATACATACATACATACATACATACATACATACATACATACATACATACATACATACATACATACATACATACATACATACATACATACATACATACATACATACATACATACATACATACATACATACATACATACATACATACATACATACATACATACATCCATACACACACACACACATACATACATACATACATACATACATACATACATACACATACATACATACATACATACATACATACATACATACATACATACATACATACATAGTATTCTTGCATCACAGTTTATTCCAGTTTGTGACGAAAACCCTAATAATTCACGTACAAAGGTTCGTTATGCATGTTCAGCCTGCTTAGTTCTTTTTTGCTGTACATCGTTCATAACCAAACAGTTTTCTGCTTGGCTGAAAAGATTGTCAATGTCATGTTTGCTGCTATCATGGATTGTATACTGAAGACCTTCAACGCCTTTTAAAACGACCTTGAAATAGTCTGTTTTCAGCCCAGTTGAATAAACTGATCGATATTACTATTACTGTCAGTATTGTTATTATTATCATTGTATTATCAGATTGTTTTAATTGAATTTTATGCTATCGCTTTTAGAATTCAATCTCTTGCTTCATTGTTATCAGAAGTGACCCAAATTAGACATCCATTGGTAATCAGAATGCACTAGACAGCTTTTCTTTTCTGGCGTGGGACTCTTCAGCAGTGCGCATCTGCAATCTCGCCACCTAATGTTGAACTCAGTAATCTTCGGTTTCACTCACAAAGGCCTAACCTCTAGACAGACTACTGAAATAGAATCCAGAGGTTTATACGTATAATTTAAATAACTTTACAAAGAAAAGAGAACTCTTCCCAGGACTTTCGCCGACGTTTCCTAGGTCGGTTGCGTTACCGCGCTGGGCGCACGCCGAACTAAAGGCCCGACACACACGTCTCCGTGAACAGGGTTGGGAACATTAACCCGATTCCCTTTCGCTACAGGAGGCTGCAATGCAACAGTACTTTGCAGATTACTGAACAAAGCCCGCGAACGGACAATGTCAGGCACTCCGTCTCTGTTCCAACTTTCCGGATCACTTAGGACCGCTCGACCGATGGTCAACTCGGCCTTCAAGGTTCTCACCTGAATATTTGCTGCTACCACCAAAATCTGCGCCTGTGGTTGCTTCACCTATGCTCACGCCTGAGGTATCCCGCTAGCCTCATCGACCCTCCTAGTCGTTACCGTCACTCCATGTCTGAACCAAGTGCAGCTTGCCCCCACACAGTATAGACTCAGCTTACAGCAACGGTCCGGTATAGGTTCAACACTCGAACGCCGTTCATTTTTAGGGCTGGTTGATTCTGCAGGTGAGTTGTTACACACTCCTTAGCGGCTTCCGACGTCTATGGCCGCGGTCCTACTATCTAGACTAACCAACACCCTTTATGGTACCTCATGAGTGTCGTGTTGGGCACCTTCACCGAACGTTTGGTTCATCCCACAGCGCCAGTTCTGCTTGCCGAAAATGACCCACTTGGCACTCACATTCAATGTAGAACTCCAATTAAACGAATTAAGCTTCTCACCCACTTAAAGTTTTTGAATAAGTTGGGGATGATTTCTCTCCAATGCCTCTAATCATTCTCTTTATCGGATATAACTGTTTATTTCTCAGAATGCCAGTTATCCTGAGGGAAACTTCGGAGGGAACCGGCTACTAGATAGTTCGATTAGTCTTTCGCACGTCAGAATCACTACGGTCCTCAACCGGAGTTTCCTCTGGCTTCAACCTTCACAAGCATAGTTCATCATCGTTCGGGTCTCAACGTGTACACTCTTGCTCCTCCCCAACGGTGCACGTTATGATGCTTATTGTTTAGAGTTTGTACATATCGATTATCGTGTTTTGGTTCCTTTCTTAGCTTTTTGATATTCGTGCATTGAACAAAGGGTGTCAAAGTTTATTTTCTGGACATGTGGACGGTATCACATATTTGGATTCAAAGGTACTGTTGTTTTTCTGTATTTGATTAATTTCATAGTTATGTTTTATTATCATATCAAACCCATAGAAAATGTATAGTTTTTAAAAGGATAAGAAGTATGAGTTGATTATATGAGAACTTTCGTCTAGATTTGATCAAATAGTTTCATAGTATTTGGACGCCGATTTGATGTGAGACATTAAATAGAGAGAATGTATTTGTAAAACCTCAGCGAATAAAGTTGAAGTAAATCCAACGTTTCGCCTGGCAATCTGGTCCAAGCCCTTCAAAGAAAATATAATCAAACATCAAAATTATTGCTGTTTGGTTATGAGTTGATAAGTTTACATTTTTAGTACTAACCCACAGAAAGTCTCATTATACTTCATAATTAATGAAATTGTGATTTATTTTAATTTTAAATGCTGACTGGAATAGTTCATCTATTTGCACTAATGTCAATCATTTCGTTTCCATTATGATAATGTGATTACTCACTATTAGCTTAGTTGTTTGTATAGTAAGTTCCTTTACTCGTTTACAGAGATCCTCAATGTCTTTATAAAACTGGAGGAAATACTCTCGCAACACCAAATACCTTGAAAAAAGAACACATACAATCCTCTATTCTTTTCTCTCAATGATCATACATTCTGAATAGAAATACCATGTCCTGATTAAATTTATGTGAATTACTGAAGAAGATTAATTAAGCGGACTTCTACTGCATTGCATAGTGCGTAATTGGATTCTTAACTAATAACCAAGTTACGCTTAAAAGTACTGTGTTGCTATGAAAAATAAAGTCAACACTCCATTCCTTAGATACTGAGATGTCTGGCCACAGTGAACGAATGATACGTTTAGAATATAACTTAGTTATTCGCAACTCCGCTTTCAATGCGATGTTCGAGACAGTTTTCATAGACGGACAAAGGGCGAAACCTCGTGCATTAGATTTCATGCGAATAATATCTCTATTGATCGCTGTGAAATTGCCGTAGTGCTTGAATACGAAGGTATTTGGGTCCAGCTACATAATCTCTGAAAATTAAGCAGTTGTACACGATACGTAAAGGTTCAAAGTAACGAAAAAGTTGTTCTAGTCCTCCATCAAGAGGTTTCTGTGACTGATCGTCTTCTGAATTAACAGATCATTGGCTAATGCAAGTTGACTGTCCACAACTGACTGTAGTAAAGCGTGAAAAGTTGATATCCTACATAGTCTTTTGTAGATAACTCGGCCCTTCAGTTAAACTAATTAGAATGTATAAGAAAGAAGCATGAAGTCTTGCCAATTGGTGTGATATTAACTGTTAACAAAAAAAGGTTGGCCAATTCATCCCATATAAGTTATAACAATAAGACAGTTGAACGAGCGGGTTAAGTGGTTTTCTCGTTTCAGTACGTATCCCATTTGATGACTGAGTAGTATACCTCAAACATTTTATCTATTCTAGGGTGATGATGTGTACTTTTTGTCAAACAGTAAAGATCAAACGGTTAAACTATGGGATACAAGAAAGTGTCGAGAATCGGGGAAAGAAACTGTAAGCAGCGTCTACTATTTTTTATAATACGATCATTAACGGCATTGATTTTATTGCTCTGAACTTTTTAAAAATAAGTCTGTTCATGTACGTTGTAAGTTGCCTGCTAAACTAACGATCGCAAATAATACTTGTTCTCATAGTACAAATCATGAAGTAATCCTAGCTAGATCACCATTGGAAACCTAAAAACACTGGACGGGTGTTTTGTCGTAGTATGGGACATCTCAGCAATGTGCATTCACGACCCCAGATCCGGAAATAGAACCCAGGTTCTTTGGAGAACATGAAGGCATCCTTTCAAAGTTCTTTTCGCTTCAATCTGACTGATAATATGGACAAGGAAGAAAGCTCTTTGTCTTGAGTTTTACATTACTAAGCATGACAACAGATTAAGCTTTTTGATGAGCATCCGTCAGCAAATAATTTAGTCAATAGAATTTGTTGGTAAGCTAGACAATTTGCAAATAAAGAAGTTGTTACAATATTTGAATAATTAGAATAAAATAGGATAACAGAAATTCCTGCTAGTGACTTATATAACGTTCCTTCACTTACTTACTTACTTACGCCTGTTACTCCTCGTGAAGGAGCATAGGCCACTCACCAGCATTCTCCATCCAACCCTGTCCTGGGCAATCCTTTCCAGCTCCGTCCAGTTGTAATTCATCCTTTTCATATCTGCTTCTATTATCCGACGCAATGTGTTCTTTGGCCTTCCTCTTTTTCGCTTCCCTTCAGGATTCCAAGTTAGGGCTTGCCTCGTGATGCAGTTTGACGATTTGCGTAATGTATGTCCTATCCATTTCCATCGTCTTTTCCTAATTTCTTCTTCAGCTGGAAGTTGGTTTGTTCTCTCCCACAGAAGGCTATTGCTGATGGTATCCGGCCAATGGATGTTGAGTATCTTGCGTAGACAGCTATTTATAAATACTTGTACTTTCTTGATTGTGGTTGTTGTAGTTCTCCAAGTTTCAGCTCCATACAGTAGAACTGCCTTGACGTTCGTATTGAAGATTCTCACTTTGATATTGGTTGAAAGTTGTTTTGAGTTCCATATGTTCTTCAATTGTAGGAATGCGACCCTTGCTTTGCCGATCCTCGCCTTTACGTCTGCATCTGAACCTCCTTGTTCATCGATGATGCTTCCCAGGTATGTGAAGGACTCTACATCTTCCAGAGTTTCGCCATCAAGAGTGATTGGATTGCTGTTCTCCGCCTTGAATTTGAGGACCTTGGTTTTCCCTTTGTGTATGCTGAGGCCTACTGATGCAGAGACTGCTGCTACACTGGCTGTCTTCATCTGCATCTGTTCGTGTGTACGTGATAGGAGGGCTAGGTCGTCTGCGAAGTCCAAATCGTCTAATTGATTCTGAGCTGTCCATTGTATTCCGTGTTTTCCTTCAGATGTTGAGGTCTTCATAATCCAGTCGACCACCAGAAGAAAGAGGAAGGGAGAGAGTAAACAGCCTTGTCTGACTCCAGTCCTTACTTGGAATGCATCTGTCAGCTGTCCTCCATGCACTACTTTGCACTGTAGTCCGTCGTATGAGTTCCGGATAATGTTGACAATCTTCTGAGGAACTCCGTAGTGTCGAAGAAGTTTCCATAATGTCCTCCTATCTACACTGTCGAATGCCTTTTCATAATCAATGAAGTTGATGTATAGTGATGAGTTCCACTCAACTGATTGTTCGACGATGATCCGTAGTGTTGCAATTTGGTCTGTGCACGACCGATCCTTACGGAATCCAGCTTGTTGATCTCGAAGTTGGGCGTCTACTGCATCCTTCATCCGGTTCAGCAACACTCTGTTGAAGACTTTCCCTGGTATTGACAGTAGTGTAATGCCTCTGTAGTTTTCACATTTGCTCAGATCTCCTTTCTTTGGAATCTTGACGAGGTGTCCTTCTTTCCAGTCCATTGGCACTTGTTCCTCCTCCCAAATCTTTTTGAATAGAAGGTATAGCATGCTTGTGGTTGCTTCGATGTCTGATTTCAGTGCTTCAGCTGGTATGTTGTCGGGTCCTGCTGCTTTCCCGTTCTTGATTTGTCTGACGGCCATTCTAATTTCTTCCGTCGTTGGTGGGTTGACATCTATAGGAAGATCTATGTGTGCTGCTTCGATGTCCGGTGGATTCATTGGAGCCGGCCTATTCAGGAGTTCCTCGAAGTATTCTACCCATCTGTTACACTGTTGTTGAATTTCGGTGATTGGCTTGCCTTCTTTGTCTTTGACCGGCCTCTCTGGTTTACTGTATTTCCCTGCTAGTTTCTTCGTTGTATCGTGAAGCTGTTTCATATTTCCTTCTCTAGCAGCTTTTTCTGCCGTCGTTGCTAGTTCTTCCACGTATTTTTTCTTTTAACGTTCCTTCACAGTGATGATTATATTAAAAAATATATTAAAAAAAACTTATGTAGAGAAAGTTGTTGGTTTATAATCTAATACCATTGTAATTTAGTTATAAACATGACGTGATCTGTATAAATTATTTAGAATTTTGTATATCAAGTACTTCTTCATGTAAGTGTCTATGCTATGAAGGTAGAATTTTATAATTTTGCTAATAGGTTTAAAGTTACTGAAATGATTAAATCCAATACTAATCGATGGATAAAATAAGGTATTATAATGCAACAAAGTGATAGCTGTCCCAGTTCGAAACGATATCATAATGCATAACAGCAGCCCATTAGCATAGGCTTTTTTCTCACAAAACAACATACATATATACAAATATTCAACACAAGAATAAAAATGATCAGAAATCATTTCACAAATAAACGGCTGAATAATGTAGGAACTATGGATTATTTACTCACCAACTAAATTAATCCCTAACTATAAAGCTTGATACCTATTTCCACACCGCCCCCTCCCGCTCATTACATCAGTCTACAAAAATGGTCGTTTTCATGTCAATATCTTACGGTACAGGATGCACTATACATGTTTCGTTTAATGTGGTGTGACATTTCATCATTCTTGATAGTTTAACATTTCGAATTTAGTTACATTTTTATGACTCAATATCCAGGCTAACCTCAGTTGGTGATTACTTTATTCTCTGTAATTTACCTTGTATCTATTCCGCAATATTTCTTTGATTAGACTGAATTTATTCCTAACCTTTTAGGAATTGTGTTGTATCTCTCAGATTCCTACGTTCATTTGGTGGATATGTGCTACTTCGTAGAGTCATTTCATTTTGAACCCTAACTTTTATTAGATATGTATTTTTATTCTTATTGGGTTGAAATACACTAATATCTTCATTATGAACACTTAAGGACAACTCCAGATGCTTGAAATTAGATATTTATTATTTCACTACAATATCCAGGACCAACCCACTAAGTGGACAAACAAATAGCCGATAAGGTTGAATGCAATACACGTATTGAATGGTGAAGGTATTACGGATAATCTCAGCTTGTTGTCTGCTTAAGTCCTTATTATCTTTCAACTCTTAATAAAGTACTTCCAGTGATTAGATTGGAATACTATCTTAGTTACAGCTCTATTATTAATATTACTTAATTTTTATGTAGTATTTTAGTAAATGACAACAACACCATATATCATAAAATTCTCTATAAATGGGTTAAAGCAGAAATCGATCATTAAGGGTTTGTGTATTGAGTTAGGTTCCATTGCAAGTATCAACAAGAACTCAATTATTATTCAATTTTAAGAATCTGAAATACTCTACTATAAACGATATTGTGCTTATCAGAGGAATGTCAACAGTGTGATCAGTATCGACCTAATGTCGTTTAAATCCTATTCCAGTGATACAATAATGAAATTTTGTTAAAATATCATGTTACTGTTTATCGGGACGTGTTAATAATATATGCAATATATCTATACATCTACTGTCTGTTACTAACAAAAAACCCTATTCATTCCTGTGGTTTGCATCCATTGCTGTTTACAGTCAAAATTGGCTTTAATAACATTATTATAATAATGTTTCTTTGTGTTATTTTTTTGCCTTTAGCGAATGACTCCTCGTTCTACTTGGGACTATCGAATTCATCCGATTCCACGTGGATGTAAGTTAAATTTTGCAGTTTATTGCAAAACATTTCTCAAAACTATATTTTTATTAACTGGTTGGTTAAAAAAATAAAAGAACTACACATTTATACTTGTCGTTCATGTAGAAGCCTATTGATTTGTTTCCTGTACTGTCATCTGGTTCAGTTGTTAATGCATAATTCTTGTCACTACCAACCTGACTATTCATAGAGAAATGAGTAAGGTAAGCTTTATTGCCAAAGAGCCAGCAGTTATGCTTAAAGCTCATGAGGACATATCGTTAAATCTTTATAATAACGATTAATTTTATGTATAACGGTTATATCTCTTAGGGCTGCCGACCAGCCCAAGGTACTGGCGAATTAAGGAACGATGAGCCATTCTAATACGAAAGGTTTCATTGCAGACTGAATAACGACAACTAAACTCGAACACAAAGGAAAACTTGATATTCAAACAGAGTAACTTGAAATAGTACAACTCAGTCAATATAGTAACGAAAGCACGAACTTCAAGTGTACAGAAAATTAGCGAATTCAGAATAGTGCCAGCTAGTAAGAAAAAGGGCAAAGATCACGCGAAAAATCGAATTAAAACAAAAACATTCGGGTTTACCTTTCATAGTAATACCAATTATGAATGATTATTAAAATAACTGAGTAATCCTGCATTAGCACATATATATGTGTCAGGGTTAATCAAGATAAGGCCCCCAAATGTCCTGGTACGGCCGAGGTTGGGGAGAGTCAGCTCTCCCTCTCGAAATGCTCTCACATATCCACGCGTTTACAGTCACTGCCTTATCGCAGCGGGAGTGAGGACGAAAAGCGAATGTCCGGCGCCTTAACCGGGTTGGTGGATATTGAGGATCCACCTAGGGGAGTTGGAAAACCCTGATTCCAAACCAATAATGTACATGGGCTGCAGGATCCTGAAGGAACAAATCGCGTATGAACCAATCATTGGTCAACGGCTACTATTGGACTGCATCTCCTTACGTTGCTCCACTGCATTATGAATCTGTTATATCAGTGGTACACGTTCATTTTAATACCTAATTGTACCGGTATGTATGTGTACGGAATAAACTTTACAGAATATTGTTTTGAAAATCTTATTTTATAAATAGCTAATAAATAATTAACAACATTATTTTGTGACCTTCTTTAAGTCAAATTTTACTGCTTGAAGATGTTTTCCGTCCAATATGATATTTCTAACACTTCTACATTTCAATGTTTATGATGTTATATCATACCTAGATCCCATACCTTCTAAACAAAATTCTTCTAAACCTATTCGAGGTGATAACTCTGTGCTTACACTTTCTGGACATAAAGTTCGCAACACGTTAATTCGAGCACGTTTTTCGCCTGCATTTAATACTGAACAAAGATTTGCTTACTCTGGAAGTGCTTATGGTAATTGGTATATATGGGATTTGTATTCCGGAAAAGTTGTAAGTCATTCTGTCCCCTCTTTATCTGATAATCTGTCAAAGTTTCGTACAATTGTTCTTTTTTTCAATGTAGACAACACTCTTCGTGACTTGGTTGTTTCTTGAAATCTTAATAAATTTGTATCTTCAATACCTGTGATAATAACGTTCGAAGTTTCCTCATCTTTACGAATGGGATGTTAATTCGCCTTAGACGAATATCTACGCTAGATTCACTCTCACTGTCTATTCTACAGCACTTCAACACAGCTCAGATCTATAACGCGTGATTAGCCTAACTAGAAGGTAAATACATTTCCACACCAAAAAACCGACAACAATCATTGATAATAAGGATAGGAGAACATCTAAATCATTTAACGCCTGTCAGACTCTACTAGTCTGACTAAGCAAACAACCAATAATTAACATTCTCCCCCACACACTTCCCCAATTATTTTCTAGAAAAATTTACTGAAACTGATTCCTTCGTTCTTTTTAGTTTCTTTACATATGTGATCTGTTAACAGGATCACAACAACAATATACGACAGTTTCAAACGTAGGTGAAAAATAATGTACTTGACCGAACATATTCAGCTCATTTAAATTAGTTTAATAGGTCCATTTCAAGTTATTTGTGTCCAGCCAATGAGTGCTGATAGATATTTGTGATATACCATATTTGTGTGTCACGTAATCAAGCAATATTAACTTCACAACATTTGAGGCTACCAGCTTTTCTTTAATAGTACGTAATAGTCATGCACTGTATATAATTTTTCGGAAACGTACTACTTGCACATTTTTAAGATTGCCTTTACTTCATTATGTTCAATAAATACGCTAAGTGTAGGCTAATGTAAAACGTTAAAGCCGTCGAAGAGCTTAACTTCTGAAGAACTCTATAGTTGTTTTGAACAATCGTAACAGGTATCAGACAAGTGTATAATAATTAATTGGAAGTGTATTAGAGAGAATAAGCTAAACTTTTGTCAAATAAATGCTACAAAACCTCAGCTGAACAGAGAAATGTACATTGAAAAGAGATCGTAATTCAATTCAAAATCTATAATAAAAAAACGAGAAAAAATTCAGACAAACATTCAGAATTCTTTGCGAATGTTTAACTCATCACATTATTATAATACAATGGTGCACTTTATACTATATTGTTGTTTATTTGTTTTGTAGGTTAAAAATTATTCGTGTGATGGGCATACAATACGAGATATAAATTGGCATCCATATGAACAGCAAATAGTTACCTGTGGTACAACAGGTGATATAAGTTGTTGGGTATATAATCGGAATAAAATTACACGTTCCAAGAAAAAGTCTCAGAAAAAACAAGAAAGCAAACGTTTAAATTCTTCTCTACCAATCGTAGAAGCTGATGACGAAACATTTCATGAACTGCGTAAATTAGCTAAAGCTGGTTTAAAATATCGGGTAACTAAGTTGTTGTCATTATCGGTTATTTTTTAAACGTAGAAATTTGCAGAATTGCTGTTGGTAAGGAAAAGTGTTGTAAATATTGCATATGTTTGAAAAACCTTTGGAAATAAGGTCACTTTAGCTATAGATGCATTCATTTTTTGTCTTAAAGTACTTGTACTTTTTGTTCTGTGAATTCAGTTTCTTTTCGAATCCTATTGTTTCTGCCCTCCCCTTTTTTGCTACTCTGACATTTGTGATAAATTCTTCTCACTACATTAATGCTATCCGACAGCTTTAATCGATGTGCCAGGTTCTACTTTACTCGATCGACTTACTTATCTAGTAAACTAAATACAGATCGGTGTATACGGTTGGCTTTGACTATTACTTGTGTTGTGGCAACTCATGATGCAACACTAGTCTAGCTAAAATACAAGGAGTGCAATTCGAGTATGCGACTTACTGGCTGACAGCCATAAGTTTTAATCACTATGCTACCACTCACCTAAGATTATTTCGTAGAGGTTCTAAATTCGCGCGTCTATAAGATATGCATACATAAAAAATCCATCACAACTATAAAGACTACCATTTTTTATGTACACTATTTAGCATCTTCAACTATTAAAAGATGCTAAATACCTTGTCAGCCAATCGACAATAGTTCTCTGACAAATAATCGTCTCCATCTATGTAAGGTTTCACTAGTATCGCAATAAGAACTCAGAGCTCACTAAATGAGACAATTCTCCGTTAATATATTTTATTGGATCCAAAATTACAATGTATATATCTTCAACGTCACTTCGATGTAAAGTATGGCAATTTTGTTTGTCATACCTTTAAAACTGGGATATGTATTGAAGACGTTATTATTTATGCAGCACTAAACGCTGTCTAACGTGTTTAAGACAAGTTGTGATTACCTTCTCTATTGACCAAATAACCAGTGTAACATTATTGATCATCCTAATGTTCTATACCAGTCAGTTTTTTGTCTAACCTATTGTTGTATATCCATTAGGATGACGCATATTTGCAAGTGTTTTGTAAAACAAGTTGTTAATTGGCACTTTATCGTAGTGTTATTTAACAGATAAGTTTTTCATAACAAAACATATTCGTAGTGCAATCTTGCTTTTGTCAGTGAATTGTTTCATGCTATTTATCAAGCATTTAATCGGTCATTTAGTTGATCTTGTCTGCAACATGAACATGCGAATTAACGTTTAATTTACCTAAACTAAATCTACAGCAATCAGACTTAAATTTGGATTACTATTGAATTTATTTCAAAATAATAGTCGACTTCAGAATATTATCCATGCATCACAAATAGACTTTAATAACTATAAGAAAACTATCAAAATATTCGTCCTGTTGGATACATAGTGGGCTAGCAGGTACTGAACGTTTTATAGTCTATATATATATATATGAGCAACATTTTGTGAATTTAAATTCCCGAAGTTTCTCTTTTCCTAATCCTTAGGTAAAAGGAATTTTCGAACGCCACAAGTCATCAATATTATCCCGCTTTATTGGATCTAGCGATTCAGAAGATGAAGATTTCATTACTGATTATGAATCAGATGAAAGTTCCATTTTTCCATTTGATCATTACTATTCCTTTATTGATGGCATATATTTTGATGAATACTATGAAGATATTGATTCAGACTTTTATCCACCATCTGATGATGAATTTCTTTTCGATACACAATCATATGTACCTCCATTAACACGCAATCAACAGAGACATTTAAATCCCGATGAAGAATTAACTACTGAATCTATTAATAATGGATCCACAGCTAGGAATTCTCAAAGACCTAGCACTAGACCAAATAATCGCCAAACAAGATCAGCAACTCAGAGACAAACCCAACAAATTACTCCGCAAAGGAGTATTCGTCGTTCATCCAGGAGACGTACACGAGGAAGGTCTAGGAACTAGAAACATTATTCATATTATCAGTAGAGATTATTCATGCGAATTTTTCATATTTTATTTGTTTCAATAAAAGAACATATTTATGTTTCGACGTTCATATCCTTTTTTTCTTCACAATCATAAGTTTAGAATATATTTATTTTTTGTCTAAACTAAGGTAATTAGGAAAACCTGTGCAATCAATGCAATTCTTGCTAGGTCATTTCTGTAGTCTACACAAGCTGATCTAACTTATGTAAGTACAGTTTGAGAATAACGGTATTTGTGCATGAGAATTACTGTATACTGAATACGCAACATCTAATTATTCTATCGATCCTTTCTTCACACTCGGCCATAGTTGAAAGATTTTTGATCATGAAATCCATACATGAAGCACTAAAACTAAACTTATTTTTGTATTGGTTGTTTGGATCTCTCCATTATTGTTTAGGACTGCAATTGATCAGTCTCTTATTGACATATGTTCATCCTGTTCGGACTGCCTAGATATTGACTTGAGTTACAAGCATTATAAGTAGAGATGGATGGTGGCTATCATTGGAATCCAGGACGCGTGTCCCGTGCTATTTGGTACTCGTCAGCTGGATGTGCCTGCATCTCCATTGCACAAGCAAATGGATAAGTGGATAGTGCAATGGCGTTTGAGGCGAAAAGTACCGTGTTCGAATCCTGGAGTGAATATGAACATCCAGATGACGAGTCAGAAACAGAACGAGACGCGTCCTAGAATCCACTGCTAGCCATCATCTAATTCTGTCTATAATTCAAACTATACTTAATTGTATTTTTTAAAATATCTATTGTGAATTTAAACACGTCAAGTAAAATCGTTTTGCTCACATAGTATTTTCTCGAACAGATCCTGTTATAATTCTGTTGGGTTCGATTAGATGGCACGGTCCCTATAGTTTGTTACTGATACATATACATTAACTTTTGGTCAACCAAGCCAAATTGATTTACCTCATTATTAAAATGAAGTGCCAATGTTCACAAGTTCGAATAATGTGATTATCTGAGTAACAACACCCTCAAAATCTTATAATTATTTTCTGAACTCAATCAATGATTGATAAAAAAAAAACTAAAGAGTAGAAGAATATTTGTTTACAGTAAATGAAATATATGTACATATTATTTTCAGTTCGTGCAAAAATTCGTAGTCATGGATAGTCACAAAATGTAGACGCAGAATTAGACGTGATCTATTGTATGATATACATAGGAGAAAAAGATTTACATAGAGGATTTTTATCGGCTATTCAGTTCTCGTCTTGAAGAAATTGTCTGATACACAGAGATGACATGAATAATAAATATACATAAAACTATGATATCATCTAAAATTCCTATGAAACCGGCAACTACATCCGGAATAAAATCGAAAGGTGTAATCAAATAAAACAAAACGCATAAACCCAACAAAGTTAAACGGATTTGCATCAAAGCGAATGTGCCTTCACCACTAAGTAATAATTGTATAAATCCATAAACAAATAACGGAATGTCTTTAATACGATCAATCATCTGAAAAAGAAAACAAAAATAGCCGGGTACTATTCGATGATTGTGGAGGGGGACATCGTAAAAACAATCACTCAAGCTACTCCTCTATGAACGAATTTATTGTCATAAAGGTTACTTGATAATTAGATAGTCGTTCACTGGTTAAAACGCTAAGCATCTGCTAAGAGACGAAGGTTTTCGGTTCAACCCTGATGGAATCGTGAATATGTACTATTAGAATCCCATGCTAAGACAACTGTCCGCTGTTTCCTAGTTGTCACACTAAGACTGGTAAGCAATGTTAACTGTTAGCAATGAAATTCACTAGTCTCCACAAACCAACTCTCACAGTGATGGTAATTGTCTGCTGTCAACAAAGTGGGAAAGTCTTAGTAGAGCTATCTCTGTGAACTGTATTTCAGAAAAACACACTTCCAGTGTACTTTGTTTTCTCTTGTTGGGACATTGAACGAGTTATTCAAAACAAACGAATATGAAAGAGCACAAAGAGTAGTTTTATTTTAAAATATTAGGAAATCCGTAAAATATCTTATTAACACTAAATACGGTAAAATCACCTTGTTAAACTATCACTGATATTACATTATTGGTAACAGCCTAGATGGTTGGATACATACATGCCAATCCATATGTTCCGTCATATTAAGAAGACACAAAATAAACATTTAACTATGATATTCTATCTACCATCTTTCTTAGATTGTTTTTATCTGCTCAGACAAACAACCGTATTTTTTCCAGCAACTTTATTAAATATATAAAAAATTATTTAATTTGAAGTTATTGCTTGTCACAAACTCTTCAATCTATCTAATAATTATACTCTAACTAGTAACTGGTTTTAAGGTACATTGTTAATCTTTTGCTGAAAAACAATGCTGTTGTACAGGCATGTATATAACTGTTGGTGATTGCGATTAAATGATCTAGATATTTCATGTTCGGGTTGACCTTTTGCAAGCCATGATCAATTTACTTGAATCCTACTCATAAGTTTCAATGTTTTCTGTTGACTACTTGCAACCAATTAACATTAAATGATATTTTTAGAGTGTTAACTCTGAACGATATTACATTTTCTCACATAGTCTGTAAATCAGAATAGGTAGCTCTAATCAATAACTAGTAGTAATTATTTTTTAATTGAATAGAATACGCCAGACAAAGGTATGGATTACATTGTGACGAACAGGGAGCACATTTGAAGAGAATAAATAAAAATTCATTATAACAAGAATAATGTATAGTCGCAGAGATAGTTCTGTTAGTAACACATAAGATATAATTTAAATTCTTTCAGTTTAAGCAGTCCTCGCATTTACGAAGAATGTAAAAGTAAATTGCAGCAAGATTGTCATTGATTTCTGTCCAGAGTCATATCTAATAACGTCTCGAGCCATTCAATTCCACCATCTCTTGGACCCCGAACCAGAGAATCGTGATGCACCGACAGTTGACAGTCCTATACAGCTTCCTTTCATATCATGATGCCACGATATAAACTGGTCGATTCTCTGCTTTTCCAACCAGTCCCAGCGTCGGTATTAAATGCAAAATATGTAGTTCGCTGGATGACATCGATGAAACGTGTCCAGGCAACCAAGCCGGTGTTTCGAGATAGCGACAGTAATTGCATTGTCGTTACTAAGCATGGAGGCATATCGGTGGGCCTCATTAATGAGATGGTGTCCTCAAAGGCAATGATCGTCGAACACAGAGCTGCCTACTTTCTTCAATTCGGAGAGGTTTAACATACATACAAGAAAGTTGATCTCACAGACGCGTTGTTGATAAGGCCTTTCACAACCAGATAAGCATCCCGACGGCACCAAAGATGACCTAGATCGGTATAAGTCAGTTTTTTTTACTATACGTAGAATGGTCTCATCAGTCAAGCCAACACTAACACTCATACAACAACTCAGATACACGAACGTTCCGATTACTTCTAACGGCTCACTTCCAATTATGAGTGCCGAAATAGGCTTGAGTATTATTGCGCACATTAAAGACAATATCAACCGCAAGACCGGGAAGTCTTTCTTCTGGTAGCAGATCCACACCACTAATGCATAATTTCATGAGAACTGTTTCCAGTGTCATCGATGGCAAAGTTGCAGAGGAATGGTAGGGCTGGATAACCCTGCTTGACCTCACTGCTAGAATGAAATAGTGAAGAGAGGTGGTTGCATGTCTTTACTCCGTCTGAGGTGTTTGTATATAAGGGCTTCAATATGCTAATGAAGTTTTCAAGCACACTCTTCTTTAGTTGACCATCACAAAGTACATTTCTGTTCAACACATCGAAGGTGGTCTGTCATCAGGGTTGCTTCCAAGTTCAGTCAACAAAAAGACATACATTTATAGTCAAACTTTATGCTTCTTCGGTTTTACTTTACAACCAACTACAAATTTTACAGCTGGAATACGCCAGAGTCAACCATATGGAACAGGGCGAAATATCAACCAAATAGGTTGCTCGAATTAATATCAATTTCGATTAATCTACAAAAATAATTTATTTATGAAATGCATCGTAAGAAATATACGGTGCATTTCAAGTTTATTAAAAGTATTCTGAATTGAAATTATTATCAGAAAAATGAAAACATACTTTTTATTTACTTTCTTTAAACAAACTTACTGAAATCGGTTCCCCTGAATGCCAACGATTGAATAATCGTAAATCTGCTTCAATCTTTGATCGTCTAGTGTTCTCACGTTGCAACTCTTCTGCGGTGAATAATTTAGTCAACGTTGAAACCTGAACACCACATAAAACATTTCTTTAAGATAAATCATCTGTAACTAAATAAGTTATAAATTATGAATCATAAATGTTGGTTGATTGATTATTGACACGTATATCTTCACCTTCTAGACGTTTCTGATGAACTTCTATTCAATGCTGATCAGGTGTTTTTAAGGCCCCTTTGGATTATATATATATATATATATATATATATATATATATATATATTGGGCTCATCCTTTTTTTGATAAAAATGCGTAGATATTGAAAGGAAAAATCACTATTCACCTCGTAGTCTTCACTTTCACTATTGAATTTCCATTTATCACTCAATGAATAACTCCTTGTTAAACTATTATGAGTGAATATTTTCCACATAACTAACAGTTTTCATAACCTAGTAAACACACACATAACCAACTGGCTAGTGGTTCTACCGTCTGAAATTTATTCCGTCAAGATATGACTGCTGATTCTGTGACTAAACTGCCCGTTTTCATAACTATATCTCACATAGATTAGAACTACTTAAAAAACTTTAAAATAACGTCGTGAGATTTCAGGATTCCCGAAACGTACAATCTAAAATAGTTACAGACTTAATTAATGTGGTTTCAATCATAAACTATCATATTGTTTAACAGAAAAAACATTTATGCATGCTTTCCCTGTTACAAACGACCTAACATTGTGCCGTGACCGCCTATATTTATCTGACTTCATCAGGTTGCTAACTTCCAACAAATTCGGCCTAGTACTAAACCAGTTTACTTTCGAATTCCAAAGTGCTGATATTGATTTATTCAACC